AAACAAATCTGTGGTCTATAAAAAAAAAAAAAAAAAAAAAAAAAAGTCATAAGACCTATAGAATTTTCTTTTGAAATATTTATTTTATCTGGACTTAAATAATTATATTCACAAATATCAAACTTACACAAGGTCATCATTACATGCTTGGATTATATACTAGCTGACTGGCTAGTTCTGATATAAACTGAGTTTTCTTGGACAAATCATTTAACTTCTCCAAATCCTCAGCTCCTACTATGCAACAAAGAGGTTGGAGTTAACAGAATTTCAGCTGAGAGATTCGGTAACCTCTTGGCCCACAAATGCATTCTATATCCCCACTACTATATGACCCATCCTTAAGCACTATTTTCACGACTGCTCTGCTTACCTCAGAATTTCTCCCTGTTGTGTATCGTGTATTGATTTGCTAAGGATATACTATACATGGCTTCCCTTTCACTCCAGTCCAGTGGTTTGTATTGGCTGGTAGTGGGAGGGGAATGGTAGAAATAGTTCATAAGATAATCATCCAGGTATTAGGTATCTTTTATATATTATGGGCCAGGCAGTGGTGCAGTGGTAATGCAACTCAATGCACAAGGGAAAAGCCCTGGATTCACCACCTGGGATCTTCCTGAACATGCTGGGCACATGCCCATGATCTGGGCCAGCTGAGACTAGTGGTGGGTCACAGTATGAAGACCCTGTTGGGGGTTCTGTCTCTCTGGTACTCTCTCTTTCTCTAATGAAAAAAATAAATTTTAAAAACAAAAAAGTACATGCATCCAATCATACTGTGCCTCATAGCTCTGCTTTCCAGATCTCTCAGAGAGAAATTTCAGGGAGGAAAAAAATGATTCAAGTACATGCTAGGCTTCCCAGTATTATTATGCTACCCTGCCCCCATCCCAAACATAAATCATCTAGCCCATATTGGTCTCCCTTTTTCTCTGAACTTCTCTAGTTTTCCTGGATCTAAATTGTTTTCTGTGTTCCAGTCTTAAGACAGAGATTGTTTTTTCATGTATTACTATAAATTCTCATAGTACCCAACACATATTCATCCCTACTACCAAGCTATCAGCACAGGTTTATATGTAAAACAACCTCTAATTTTTATAATCTTCATAGAACTTCATAGGTTACAACCTAAGACTCTTTCACACTTCTTTATTTTCAGTAGGTAGATTACCTCTTTCTGTAGAAAAAATTAAAGTATTGCGGAAATAATCCCAAGAGCCTCTCAGTTTTTAGTCTAATGACTACTTGAACATTTTCTTAGTTACAATACATCTCAGTGGAAAAAAGCAATTTCATATCAAAATATATGCCATAAAGTTTTAATAGATAATAGAAGAAAAAAAAATCAGTCTAGGCCCATGTGCTATAGCATAACAGTAACATGGTGCCCTACAAAGCTTGAAGTCATACAGCCAACCACAAGTTCAGATTTGTAAGTCAGCGTAAAACACTCTAGGTATGCCCAGGATCCTGAGGAAATGAAAGACTGGGGAAAAAGGATTGCGGCATGATGATACCCTGTCCAGGATGCTCTCCTCTGTTTCTTTTTTTCTCATTAAAAATAAAGGAACCATCAGATGGCATAATGATTACGGCACTGGACTCCCACATAGTTGATTGCGATTCAAGTCCTGAATCCGGCAACTTGAAACTCACACTGGGCACATGTGCTTCCAAGAGGAGAAGAGACGAGAAGAGATTGTAGTGTGGCCATACACCTACAGGGTGATTTCTTGCTTTCTGTCTCTCTCTATTGCTCCAGAGAGCACACATGCCCTATAGCAAAAATCTCTCAATAAAATAAAATCAGTCTGGGCCAGTGGGTGGTGTGATGGTTAGGGTGGCTTGATCCCACATGGCTGACTCTGCAATTGGAGTCATGGACCCTGCAGCTTGAAAAACATACCAAGTACATGTACATGCAAACCCAGTATCCCAAGAGGAAAATGAAGGAGAAAGGATCCCACGGGATGATTTCTCACTTTCCCTCTTTCTAAGCACAGTTGCCCTATTGCAAACAATAACAACAAAAATAAAAATATAAATTAAAAATTAATAAAATAAAAATCAGTCTAAGTTCAGAAAACATTGAAATAATGTTTTATTCAGATTCTCACTGGAATTTATATTCCACAGAAAGCACTTTAGAAGATGATGCACTCAACTCTTATTAGCATCTCTGTTGCAATTTGATTTTTTTGTGGTTATTTTAGTATATTCTCCCCAACTCTAGAAAAGCTAAATTTAATCCTATAAAAGAGTGACCAAAAGCAAATTAGGATGATGAATGTCACTATAGAAAAGTATCTCCCACAGCTTCTAGATGAACTTTAGGGTTTATATACGATGTGTGTTCTCCCATCACTCTTAACGTTCCATGAATTTACTCTTAGGACCATTACTAAAACACTTTCCATAGACAGAGGAATCAATGGCTATAAATACAAAACACAGTAAGAACTCTAATTCCAGTGCTCATTTTCAAATATGCTTGGTTAGGAATGTAAACTGACTGAGGAAGAAGGTTGGTGGTGCGATTATGTGTCATGGGCTGTCTTACTCACAGAGAAACTACTGGAAGCCTGCAATCAGTATTCATGAAGGAAATAGAATAAAACTATTTTCTCTTAATTCGATGGCTCTGTTTCTGAAATATGCCCTCCTTCCTCCTCCCTAATTCTGCTGACTTATCTATGCAATGCAAGATGTATCTAACTTTTGATTTTTGTTATGTGAATGGGGGAAACAGAGACCATGCTGAGTAACCTGAACAGCCAGAGAGAGGTGTCCAGTATAATAGATGGAAGTATGACAATCCAGAGTTATGACAGACAGGAGTATGACCGTCCAGAGGAATAATGATAGGAGTAGGACAATCCAGAGTTATGATTGATAGGAGTGTGACAATCCAGAATGGGTTGTCATATTTTAAAGATGAGATAAATCTCAAAAGATAATTATCCCTTCTCTCCACTTCTTCATTTTTATAGCATACTGAGTACAACCAAGAGGAACTTGAGGATGAGTAAACATAGGATAACATAGGACACAGTTTGACATCATTTGTTGCCAACTTAACCACTTTGTCAGACAGAAACTCTTATCTTCCTATCTACCAGGTGCTCAAATCACTAAGGTCTAAAATTGAAGTCTTCAAATGAACTGGCTTTCCAAAAAAACAGAAATGTTACTGAGTAGCTGTCCCGGATGTATCTTCTTCTGGGGCCTTGTCAGAAAGTTTTCCAAGAAAAAACTACAGTAGCTCTGGCACTTTAACCAACAAGCTTGTTTTCCTTTCTTCTCATGGAACTAGTACCATGTATTCTTTCTTAATAAACCATGGAGATTTATAAAATCATTCTCCTTAATCATCCTCATCAATGAACTCTCTCTCTTGAGAAGTAGACTGATATTCTACTCTCTGGACAGTGAACAATGAGAAACTCTTACTCTTTAGCTTTAGGGACCCAAGTCCTGTCAAGATTTCCCTGTGTCTAAGTATCCTTAGTCTCTTATTAGATTAAGTCTGATGGTTTGAACTAGGCAGTCAAACAACATGGAAAATCAGTAATGACATAATCATACAAAGCAACTGCTTAAGATTTAGATTTCTAAGAAGGGAACTGCAGATTAAATTTGCCTTGAAACAGAGGACATGAGGTCAAAGAACCAGCTTCAAATATTACAAGTTACTTTTAACATGAAAAAAATTGTATAATTTTAGAACTACAGTTTCCTAATATACAGAATGAAGATCACTTTTAATACATTTTAGGTAATGTCCCTCGCCTAATATAGGCATACTAAATGTTATTTGAGTTATCCAACTTAGTTGATTCAAGGTTATATTCAATGCTGTTCATCACTAAAAAAAGATATGCCACAATGCTATTAAATGATAAATTTAGAAAATAAAAAATGACAGGTTCTGTGTCTTGATAGGAAAAGCAATATAGAATAAAATGAAAGTAGATACATAGTTGTGTAACTGCTACATTAAAAAAAAAAAGAAAAGAAAATTAAGGATATATATGTAAATGCTTGCATATATTTTATATAGAAGAAACTCCAAAAGGACATAAAAGACATTAAACAACAATCATTATTGGTTTGGTGTAGGAGATCTCAGAGCTGGAGATGGCAGCTGGGGTGGGAAAGCGTCAATTTTACTCATGGAACCTTTTAAAATATTTTTTTAAACTATGTGAGAAGGTGTTTCCTATTTGACCAATAAAGGTTTTATTTTATTTTATTTTGCTGTAGGGTGCATACATTCCCTGGAGAAAGACAGAGAGAGAGAAAGTGAGAAATCACACCCTGGGGGGTGGGGGGGTCATGCCACAATCCCTTCTCCTCCTCTCTGCTCTTGGGATTTTGAGTGCACTTGTGACTGGGATAATTTTTAAGTCACCTGGTCTGAGACTCGAACCACTGTCAGTCATGTGAGAATCCTGCACCTTCATCACACTACCTGCTGGTCCCAATCAATAAATGATTTTAAAACAAAGGATAGGCAGGCAGAAGATTTTGATGAGATCTTCATTTTCATGGCCTTTATTATGTTTTTTTCTTTCTTTTTGAGAGATTTTTTGCTCTGGGCTGTGTGCACTTACTGGAGAGAGAGAGAGAAAGAGAGAGAGAGGTAGCAAGAAATAACCCCTGGGGGGATGACCATGCTGCAATCGCTTCTCCTCCATTCTCCTCTCGGGGTCATGGACATGCACACATACTTGTCCAGCATGAGTTTCAAGCCGCTGGGTCCGGGACCCCAGACTTGAACTGTGGTCGACTATGTGGGAGTCCAGCAACATAATCCTTATGCCATCTGCTGGTCCCCTTTATTATGCTTTTTAAATTTTGCTTGCCTCCTCAAAGGAGCTGAAATTGCTGAGGGGCCGGAAGTAACTACCATTAGTCATCCCCCGGGAGATGTGTGCCACCCACTTAACCCCACCCACAGTACTCAGAAAGGGCAATCAAATGAGTATGTGTGCCAGCACCAATTCAGGATGCCCCAAAGAAAATGAAATAAATAGGTACTACAGTCAGATGCACGAGATGATTCATTCATTTCCCGTGAACGATATCCTCTGGCCCAGAAGTGATCATGTCCAAACATCATCCATAGATAACAGAGGAAGAAATTATTAACGAACAGAATCTAAACCATCAAGGCAATGCTGTAGGATTCATTAGTTCTAGTGTGACCTCTGACCAAATACCAAATACGAAAATTTCAGAGTCATAATAAAAGTCTTTCCAGAATACTCTTGGGAGTTTTCATATTTGCTGCATTTTTAGCACTAAAGCAAGGATGCCATTTGAAGGTCATCCTGATGTGTTTAAAGAAACAGGACCTAATTACATGACCTCAAATGTTATTGGTCTCACTGAGGAGGCAGGAATAATAGTAGCTGTTTTGGAAATACAGTCAGGTACTTCAAAAAGTTCATGGAAAATGAAATTACAAGTTTATTCTGATGCAAAAACAAATTCATGCATAGCATTTTCATAAAATACACTTTTTATGAAATTCTGGAAAAACGGTTTGTACAATCCTCCCTTTGGTTCTGCTACAGCCTCTGAATTCTCCCTGTGGACACACCTTATGGTTAACTAGTCACTACATGATTTAACTACATTAAGCTCTCCAGGAACAATACTACAGCTTTATAAACTAGAGCTACATCTTCTTTATTTAAGGGGTCTAACAGCCTAGTGGAGAGCCACTAAGTTTATTTTAAGCGGTTTCTGACACTAAACAGTTTGACAGATAAGTCAGCTAAAATAATAGAAATGCCACTTATACATGGATGACATCTAAAGCACTCAGATTTTTCCCTTCTGACTTTCATTTGCATGTGCCTATTTGACTTAGATGCTTCAGAATGAACCATATTAGTTTGCCCAAGGTTTTCCTGGTTTTAGCACTAACAATCCCGTGTCCTAGGAAATAGCCCAGTCCTGGGAAAACAGGAATCGTTGGTCACCCTCTTCCTCAAAGATCTTAATTTAATATGCTGCAAATAGACCTCTTTAATTTTCACCCCATATCTTCCAGTCTGCTGTTCCTCTAGTTTTCTGCATATCAGGAGATGTACCTACCACCATTCTTCCTTTCCTTCACTTCTGCCACTCCAATTCTTAAATGTGTCCTTTAAATTCTTCACCATAACGTACTTTGAATGTTCACTCATTCCACATCCAAGGGCACTATACTTATCCAAGCTACCCATTCCCTCACCATTCTCTGCACTTTTCCTTATGATGTATTTTCCACATACATTTCTCTCTTTAAAAAAAAAAATCCACTTCTTGCTTCCATAGTGAAAGGGACAGAGAGACAGAGAGAAAGACAGAGAGAGAGAGACAGAGGGAGAGAGAGAGAAGCATCCCAACAGGGTCCTCACACAGTGATCCAATTCCAGCCTCAGTCAGTCCTGAATCATGTGCACCTGGTATGTCCAGGAAAGTCTCTGGTCTTTGCATGAAAGCTCAGAATCCAACTATGAAGGTCAGCCTCACACAGTGTGGCATTACTACTGTACCACAGTCTGGCTCCAGAAAGATCTTTGAAATATAAATAATATCACTTTTCTGCTTGGAACTATTCAATAGCTTCCCAATACTATGCACACTGTTAGGTCCTATGTGTGGATTCCAATTTATCTTTCTGATTCCATCTCAGGCCATCCTGTGTTCCAGCCCTCAGATCTGAGGATTTCAAATATACAACAAATTCTTCCTTCATTCAAGACCTTCATACTTGCAATCCCATCTCTGTAGAGTGCTCTCTGCTAATCTCCTGGCCTAATCATTTTCCTTCATTATAGGCCACATTCTTGGCCTTTCTAATTGTACTACTGAATATAGAAACCATGCTTACTATTTTCTATCACATCACTTGTTTAATTCCCTGCACGGTGCTTGTCAAAATCTTTAACGATTTTGTTTATTGAATTATTTCTTATTGTATTTCAACTTCCAGGAGAATATGAGCTCCATGAGGACGCTACCTCCCCTCACAGCACCTCCATAACTTCTCTCTCTCTCTCTTTACATATATATATATATATATGTAAAACCTCTCTCTGTCTTCACAGTACATAGTAAGCGTTCAAATCTTTTTATAAATGTATGATTGGCAAGAAACCATCAGGCATCTCTCTTACTGTAACAATAATTATTTAAGTAGGTGTTATTTACATTTAACAGATGAAGAAATTGAATCTCAGAGAATTAGGTTACTTCCCATGTTTACATAGTTAGAAAGTGACTGGTTCAAACACTGAGGCCTGCTCTAAATGTCCAATTTACTATACCAATACTACTACTTTCTTCATTACACTGGTTTATTGAGTAGAACAAAGAATTAGGACTTGGGTATTGACCAAGATACTTTTATAGATATGGTCAAGGTAACTGAAAGACCCTTAGCAGTGCTGGAGGATAGAAAATCAATGCCTACATGTGTATGTATGTGCATACGTGTACACACAGAAGCTATGTAATGGCGAGCATCAAAGTCTAGGATCTTTGGCAGGAGAAAGAATAGGTTAGCCAAATGCGATGAAAATCTTCTATTCGTTCCTCACAACATATATTGGTGGTGGTTGTTTTTTTTTTTTTTTAAGTGTAAAGCTAATTCATAAAAATAGAAGTGGCCACAGGCCCTTTCTACTAATAGCTAACAAATCCCAAGGCAAAGGACTAATCCAGGGCATATGATGAGCCTTGGGATTTATCATATGTTGCCACCTTGATTAATACCAGTTAAAATACAATAAATGGAACAGGTAAAAGTAGCATTCTCCTCAGGAAGACTTCTTTCCAAAGTTAAATACGCTAGAGTCTTCATTCATCTGTTCATTTATCCACTTACTCAGCAAGCATTTTATTCAGTACCTACTATATACGAATATTGAGAGTTCATGAACAATAAATAAATAGTCCTACACAGGAAGATTAAAGTGTATGAAAGACAGAGACTGGCATACAGGGTAGTTAGAGCTGTGGCAGGGTAGTTACAACTCTTACTCATGAATTGAGAGGCAACTGCACCAGTCTTAGAGTTGAAATAGAATCATGAGAAAATGTCCTTGGAATAAGTGAAATGGACATATAAACATACAGGACAAAGAGGGATTAACCAGCTAAATGTTAATTGCTCTTTCATCATCATAAAATGCAATATTTTCTTTGGGTTCCAGGCTTATATATCCTAATGCCTACTTGACAGTTCTATCTGGCTGCTTCACAGAGATTAGAAAATTAAGATGCATAAGGCTGAGGTCTTATTTCCAACTCAACACTCCCCAAGAAATCCTACTTCTCTAATCATATAAAATACCAAATCATTTTACTTAGTATTTATACCTCACTCCTGAATTACTATTTTTTTCACAAAATTGGGGAAGGGACTATAACTGGAGCTCTTTCCTTACTCCCTAGTCTTGAGTTCACTTACTAATTTATGGGGAAGAGTATGGATAAAAGGGTATGATATTCCATAGTGTCTTTGCCACCTATTTTCTATCAACATGCAACACTATATCCTCCAGAATAGTGGTGTACACTGGAGTCATGTGGCAACAACACCCACAGATGATGACCAATAAGTCCCAGGAACTCATCTGACTGAAATTTCCGAGCCAGTCTCCTAAAGATGCTTATGTGGTAGCAAGGTGTTCTGACAAATTGGTCAAAACCATGATTTTTCTTAGCATGCTTATAGTGTTGAGACTCTATAAAGATATGGTGAGGTACCTTAGAATCTTCCTGGGGAGGAAGTTGCTCTCTCTTTTCCTTCAGTGATGTCAGCATAGCATCTGCAGTCTCTTCTCCAGAAGAGCTTGGCTCAGGACCTGCAGCTTCCGGCTTTCTATTCTCCCTGGGAATTGTGGGTTGCTCGCAGGACAAGTTTCTAGGTAGACCTTTGGGAACTCTTCCTTGTTCTTCTGACAGCTTCAGCTTCAGTTCTAAAAAAATAATGCCATTAATTACCAATGATAAAGAAGACTCACTAGTGCTAATAAGAACAGAGAGTGTAGGACCAGCAGTTGGTGTAATGGCTATATTACTGAATTCCCACGTAGTCAACTGCGGTTTGAGTCCCGAACCTGGTGGCTTAAACTATGTTGGGCGTATGTGTGTGCGTGCCCAAGATACCGAAAGGAGAATGGAGAAGAAGGGATTGTGGCGTGGCCATCCTCCCTGGGGGGGGGTGTGATTTCTCACTTTCTGTCTGTCTCTCTCTGACTTTCTGGCGAGTGCATGCACCCTATAACAAAAACTTCTCAAAAATAAAAAAAAAGAGAGAGAGAGCCTTTCAGAAATTCCCCCCAATGTCAAGTTTGTAGAAATGAACAATACTAATGATGGCTTTCCATGTGGCAAAGGCAGCCTTAATAACCAGGGCCAATGGCATAAGCTCCCAATGAGGTATGGAAACAGAGGAGTCTGGAGCCGGGACCTCATGGAGGTGGAGAGTCATGTGTGGTAGTGTCTCAGTGGTTTTGATTTCAGAGGAAGAGGAGTTCTGGAGGAAGACCAGTGGTAGCTGGTCCCAAAGTTTACACATAGCACTAAAATTCTATACCCAAAGGGTAATTTACTTGGGTTTTGAAAGCCCCTGTAAAATACAAGGACCCCTGTAGAAATGCAAGGGCCTCTGGAAAATATTGCACATCAAGATACCATGAGAAATACAAGAGAGAATGAGAAATGGGTGATGAAATTTCTGGTGCCAACTTGAGAGATTTCAGAATTTGTCTAATGCAGTTTTTAAAACCCAGGGATCATCATCATTATAATACAATGTGGCCTTACATAAATCTAGATAATTAAAAATAGAAAAGCCACCTGGGACTTTATCAAGGAATTACATTTCAGGATATGCCAAGGGAGTGGTCATTTGAATGAGGCCATTTATACTGATTTCTCAATTACGTATCTCATCTTGTTTGGTGTTTATTCTTTTAGTTAGACACTGGCTTGGTGTTTAAACACTGCATATTTTATAAGCCTGCTACATCATTACAGTTTAATACCATAGAATTACTATTCTCTTCTATTAATAGTTCTTTTTAATCATCATCCTTCCAGAAATTTGGAAAAACTCCCACATTTTTAAGTATTGAAATTAGAGTGTAAAGAGAGGAAGAAATCATTTTTATTGGTGCATAACAGTAGTCCTTTTAAAATAGATTTTAGAGTCAATTAATAGTCACACCAACATTTCCAGAGAGAGACTTGAAAGCATAGACCTAGACTAAGAGACAGGAGAACCAAGCTTTATACCTGGCTCACCACCTCCCAGTCTTGTCATTATTCCCTTCTCTTTCTCTGGTCATAAATGTCCTCCTCTGTGCAGTGGGGCATGTGGAATAAATGATTTTTCAAGCTTCTCCTGTTTCTAACATCCAAGAATCCAATAACCCAGGGAGGTTAAAGCTCTCCATGTTGGAATAATCTTGGCACTGAGGTGAATCATTCTATTTCGGGGTCCTGAAGTCTTCAGTCTCTTTGAAAGAAAGTTTATTAAATGGGGCCAACAATGAAGGAGATCCAGGACCCTTCATTTCAAAGGGGACCTCCAATCAATGTGGGAAATAAGGTTTAAGAGGATATGGGTAAACATGAGTAAAAAAATGCCCCTGGAGTACAGTATTATTAGCTTAACTGCTTCCTTTCTGAGAAAAGAGACCTTTGGCTGGCATTTACCTTTGAGCTGTTTACGACCTTTAGCCAAATCATTCATCCATTTCAGGACTTCAGGATTAGAAGTCTTGTCACCATGTGAGGGCTACAGAGTGGGAGGAAAAGGGTGTGGGAGGGAGAGAAGAGGGAAAAGAAGGGAGAGAAAGAGAGAAAAGAAAAATAAATTTAAATAGTTGAGTCATACAAAGATAGTTTGAGAACACAGAAAACTGGGAGAGAAATTGAGGCATGAAAACCTCAACTGACAGAGTTACTTCTGAAAAATAGAGCAAATATATATCTCTTCCATTCTTTTCATCCTTTCTATGGACATGGTCACCCAGCATTTTTCACATAGTCCTATCCATGGCAGTGCCCTCTTCAATAACCAACAATCACCTTGCTGGTCACCTGTACTCCTTATACTATTGTCAGGCCATTCCCCGTGTCAATGCAGATGCAGATGAATGCACTGGTATAGTCTTACTATGACCTTGGCTCACATACATGCTTTTTGACCATAATCAGCTAGAGAATACTGGCAAATTGAAATATTAAGTTCTTATCATTCATATCTTCTAAACTGAAGAATGTATGCTCCTGAATCTCTAAAACCTGAAAATAATCCTGAGAAATCAGTCTGAAGATTGATAGTTACTTTGAAATAATGATATACAAAGAGCTCGAGCTCTCAAGTTCCTTGAGAGAATATAGTAACACTGAAGATGACATGGTTATGAACATAATAGCCTGAAATGTGTGCATTGTTAGTGACCAAAATCTAAGGATCCAGATCCAAGTTTTATTAAGCAGCTTCTAAATAAATGTAATATCTGCAAGTTGTTGATGAGAGGCAGGCATAGAAAACTGGAAAACACAATCCTTTCCAATTTATAGGAAAAAACAAAAAGCAATACTTGCATGACAGGATCATTAAATATACATGGGATTGAGTATAATCATTGTGAAGCAACAAGGCATGGCTCTTTCGGTTCTCGAGCTTTTTAAAAAGGCATACGTTTTAAAATCAAGATGAAAAAGAAGACTGAAAAAATGACGATGACTTCCCTAGAGGAGCCTGTATGAGAGAGTATGATTTACATGAGGGCGTCCCTGGCTTCAGGACCACGGAGAGCAACACGTACTTACCGCTATCGCTAAAACAGTTTACTTAGTCTGGTCCTATCTACTGTCTGCTAGAATGATGTGCTATACTATCTTCCTGATACAGAGACTAGTACTTTGAGTCTGAGTGGCAGTCTGGATAAAGAGGGAGTTAATATTTTACAGTTTTTTTCTCAAAACCCTCAGAATTCTGCACTCTGATTTAAGAACACATCTTGTTGAATAGTGCTGCACTGGATTTGCTCCACATAGTTAATTCCATCTTTTGAAATATGGTAAAAATAAACACACGAAAAAAATCCTAAGATCCTAAGCTAGTGAGCACCAAGGATATGAGCTTTTGCTACTGAACATAGAATTTTGGAAGCATTTAAAGCAGAGTTTACTAACAAAATAATTTAAAGCATGAAATCAGTTTCTGAAATGAATTTTTCATTTTTCCCACCCTAGGGGGAGGTGATTTTTTTTTTTTTTTTTTTTTT